ATGCATGGATTTTCGATTGTGTGGAGGGTCAGCGCCCTTAATCCCTACGTTGTTCAGTGGTCAGCTATACTGAGAAGGCAGATGTCAGACCTATGGGATGTGATGACTTCAAAAGAAATGGAGCAAGACTAATGATGGAGTGAGCTGTTTCCATACTGGATTACCTTCTAACAGCTCATCAGAGCTTACTGTTAAACACTCAGAAATTTTGCAAGTGTGATAGTTTAAAACTGGCCGTGTTGTGAGTATTTACACCAGGGAAATTGTCAAATGCTAGAAGTAAGAGATTTTCTTTTCAAAGGGCTGATTTACCAGCACATCATTGGCTATTTAGTAAAGAAGTGAGCTCCCTGTCATTGAAACTATTCAAGTAGTAACTGGTGATCTGCTTAAAAAAATATGTTGCAATAAGAGAAATAAGGAAAAGTTAGAAAGCTTCTAAAGTCTTAGCCAGCTGTATTCCACCTTGTTACTTGAATGCATCGGTCACAGTGCTAAGACCAGTGAAATTTCTGCTATTTGAATTTTTTTACTGGTGCTTGTCCAACATCCACTCCTGATCTGCTCCTTATCTGAGTTTGCCTCTGTTTTGCCCTCCTCTACGTCCTTTTTGTATCAACTTTTAACAGAAGAGTTTCCATAGACCTGCAGTCTGATGTCAGACTGACTGGTTTTTGAATCCTCATTCTGCTACTGGTCACCTGTTGGAACTCTGGACGGTTATCTAGGCTGATTGAATCTCCTCTTCTTTATCTGTTAAAACATGACGAAAGTATCTCTCTCCAATACTGTTTTGTAAAAGAGGATAGTCTGTATAAAGTGATTAGTACAATGCTTGGCCATGGTGAGGATCTAGTAATGTCAGATTTCCCCTTAGGGGAGTATGAGTTCTGTTTTTTCCTCATTTCTTAGAACTCTTAGACTCCAAATTTTACGAAGAATTTCAAGCATTATTTACATGTTACTAAGGTAACTAGATATGTTTCTGAATTTGTCCATAAAGTAGATTTTCTGCGTGTTTAACTCTGCTGTCTTATTAATGCTGTATAGTCAGAGATGCAGTCTTATGAGCCACTGTGTCAATGATGATGGACAACAGATGTTGTCAATGTTGGCAGACGATTGGCAGCATATAAATCGGCAGTTCATTGGAGACCCTCAGAACCTGGAAAAGTGTAAAATTATGACATTGAGGGTTCCTCCCCACGCGACTCCCTGGTCTGAAGAAAATCATGGTGAGAGCATAGCAAAGGTGTTTATTTGGGGTATAAACTGTTCTTTCATTGGGCAAACACTGTGATATATTTGTGAAGACACAAGAGAAGTGGACACACCCAGAGTGGTTTATAAGCAAAGCAGCTCATAAGCCTGGTGTGGAAAAGGCCATTTCTAGAACTCAGAGAACAATGTGTCTAAAATTTCATTCCTAAAAAGAATGAAAGCTTTTGTGGATGAAGAAATGAGAGACCTAAGTAGTAACCATTGTTTCTGCAGAGACTTTCTGATTTGTGTCCTTTATAAATACCTTGTTGTCTGTGCATAGACCATCACTGAAGTACATTGAAGTACATTATTCAGAACTGAAGGTGCATACATTTACTATAAATATTTATCTTACATACACTGTGCACATATGTGGTTCTCATCAGCTTCAAATATGCTAGAAGTTTCTGACTGGCCTCTTTTGTCAGTACCAGTCTATGGCCTGCATACGTGGTGACACAAATCCAGAAGCTAGTCTTAGTTCCTGCCCTGGCCCAGATCTTCTCAACATGGTAGACTGAGTATGAGGACATCATGGCTAATACTTGTTCCTTTTGCCTTCCAGTGATGCAGTAACATAGACTCCTATCAAGTAAATAGAGCCCTGTTTATGGACCTTTTTGATCAGGCGGTTAAGGAAACAGTTTATTTTCACCTTTAGGTGGTGTTGGCATCAATATTTTCTGTAGTCTTTGCTCCTTGGATACCTTGGGTATATGAAACAACTACATTACAGACAAGTTTGGAAGCCTGGACCACTTGAAATGTGTGTTAAAGATCTCAAGGTGACATTCAGGGATTTAGGGTTCTGATTTAAGGGTCCTCTGATCTTACTACTCATTTGCCAGAAACACTCCTGACTCTGATTATCTTTTCTTCCCCCGACATTTTGGTTACCCTGTATATTAGATTATCCAGATGAAAGTATCAGTTGGATACTTCTCCTTCTTCCCCTTCCACCAATACCATGTTGGTGGATGACAAGAAAAAAGGAAAAATGTGGTACAAAAATATGTAATGGTAAAGTCAGATTCAACAGAAGCAGGGATGGAAGCAGGCAAGCTAATTGCGCCACTTTGAGCACACATGTTTTCCACAGATGGCTGGTTTTCTTCAATTTTCGTAATTACAATTTCAGGCAGCATCCCTCCGCTCCAGGACGGTTATCCCATTTGTGGGTTACCCATTTCCTGTGCATTTCCTTCCTCCGGCCCACCTCTTGGCCACATTAACATTACTTCATGGCACAAACGATACCACAGGTGGCCAGAGCAGGTTTTGAAAGAGAAAAAAATGAAATGGAAACCTGTCAGGGTTGCTTTGTGTTGCATTAAAATATTTGATGAGGAGAGGCCCAAACTCTTGGCCAGAACAAGACTTCCGAAAAATCTGGGCATTTTGGAAACCTGCGCTGTTTCTTTCATGCTCATCTCTGTTAAGCAAGCATGCGCTGGCTAGATACCTCTGACCAGGTCGGAGCAGCAAGCATAGTGGCAACTGTAAACTCGAATATGAAGTTGAAAATACACCCTGATTTCTAGCATGTAATCAATCAGCCAATATTGACTGAAATCCTAGATTAGATCCGGTTTAATCATAGTCTTCTAGGGGCCTCCAATCAAGGGAGACAGAGTTTACACACTAGATTCAACAGTCAACCACAGTTCAGCAGAATTCAGTGAGAAGGGTTTGGATTGTGTAGGACAGAATGTGTGTGTGTGTCTGTCTGTCTGTCTCCATTCCCCCGGGAAGGGGACGAGAGAAGCCAAGTAGACTGAAGAATGGGAGAAGGCTTTGTGGGAGGAAGTAGGTCCTGAGCTGTGCTCTGAAAACTGGGGAGTGGTGGGGGAGAGAATGGAATTTGGATCAGAGTAGTAATAGAGGGTGCACGTGTGGGGCCTCACGTACCAGAAAGAAATCAAAAAAGTGAGGGAAAGTTGCCAATGTTCATAAAATATAGCAGCCCCTATTCTCAGTGAAATTAATATTATCTGTGATGGAAAAATGGATACACCATTCTTTATAATGAATCCTGAAAACTACTCAAGTGTGTCTATAATATTCAACAAAAGGCAGTCTCCTTTGGAGAATAAATTAACAAATTCATGTTGGGAGGTGCTAGAGGTATCCGCCACTAGTTAGCGTCTGATTTTGAGGGATAAAGTTTGGAAAGAGGTGAGTCTCCTTGTAGGTGGTACCTAGACCAAGAGTCAAGTCTACAAAGCCCAGGATGATGACCTTGCTGCCCCTTGGAATTTGCTGCCTTCCAGGCCATTCTCTTGCTGAGCTTCAGCAATACCCTACCATCCTTCACTTCCTTCCATGGGTTAAGCTGTTTCTTACCTTATGGTCATTGCATTTCCTGTGTCTTCTGCCAAGACATGTGTCTCTAGGCTCTTAGGGAGCCCAGCTCTTTCTCATCAGCTAGATCGCAGCTCACATTTCACTTTCTCAGGAACTGGGCTCTTTTTCTGACCATCCCAGCTAAAGGGGTGGGCGCTCAGACACCCTAGCATTGACTGCCATACCACCCCCTTTAATTCCTTTAAAACATAAGGAGTCCTCAGAATGGTCTTTGTTTTGTTTAGTATCTGTGTCTCCCCTTTAGAGAGGTCCTGAGGACAGGGACCTCATCTTCCTCGTCCACGGCCATACCCCAGCGTGTAGTAAGTGCTCAGTAAAGTGTGCCTTAGATGAATCGGTGGCAGTGGGGTCACCATTATGCTTAGAGCACACTAAGCTCACGTTCTCTTCCCCTCCTGAAGTGCTGAACTGTTACCCAGCAGGAAGATGAATGGTGTGGACCTGGGGTGGCTCGGTTGCCATGGCAGTAGCTCCAGCACGTCCCTCTTCCTTTGTTCCTCCACTGAGCTTTAAGAACCTGGAAAACAGCATCACTTGGGGATATTTCAAAGAGACGGACTTTGAAGGAATAATTGTCTGGGCTGGACAAATGCCAGTAAATTACATTGGGAAGAACTGCTGGTTTGATTCATTTCTCAATGCGTTTGTATATTGTAGCCATCGTGGAATGAAATGACGACACAGGAGGAGATAGGATTTGCTGTTGCTCCAGCCTGCCCTTCCCTCACACACATTTATGTCTGTCGCCCCTCTGGACTTTTCCCTTTTCTTCATTCCCTTCTCAACGTGGCACTGAATGAATCTGCTTCCCCTCTGCAAACTGTGGTACCACAGTCATTAATTTACTGAAGGAAGTTTGGAGAGGCTGTTATTTTTTCTCACATTTCTCACAGCAGCAGCACACCTCTGGGTGACACCGTCCAGAAGCTGCCTGGGTTTTTCTCATTTGTAGCTGGCCTTTTCTGGGTGCCTGGTTAAGAAATGATGATGTATATGTTCTGCAGTTATCTGGTTTGGGTTTGTAAACGAAACATGACCATGCCTTTTTCATGTGTCATTAATACACGCTAACAATAAAAGGTGCCTCCGTGGTTCTGCTGTTGAAGTATCCCTTATTATGTTTCTCCAAAGGATCTATGGCATGAGAACAAGGCAGAGCTGGCAGAAGGGATTTCTGTTCCACTTGCCTTGCCCACATCTATCCTTCCTCCCGTCCCCTGCTGTCATGCTAGAGATCTGTGCTTCTATTCTGACAGACAACCCATCACATTCCTGTTACTTTAATGCATGGTCTTAGTAGCAAGTAGATGGTTCTCCCGTCTCTTCGCTCTTTGATAACCTACAACATCCAATTCTCTTTCTTGTTCCTCTAGCACTGCAGTGACAACACACATCCCTGCCAATCAGACATGAATATTGAAGGAGCCTGGAAGAGAGGCTACACGGGAAAGAACATTGTGGTCACCATCCTGGACGATGGCATTGAGAGGACCCATCCGGACCTGATGCAGAACTACGTGAGTGTTTGCTGTGGCTGGAACACCTTCCCTCCTGGGAAACCATGGAACGCATGTTAGGGTTATGAAAAAGGGGGAAAACCACTAAAAAAAAAAAAAGCAGCTACTGGATACAGTAAGCTTTAGGTATTGCGCCCATCTGTAAAAGATGCGCTCTCAGAGCACAGGAAGTATGAGATAACACTGTCCACCTTTGTGTGCCTCTGATGTTCCGATGACGAAAAGTAGGTGAAGTAGCAGAAACCCCACCGTGTGCTACTGATGACAACTGTTCCTCCTGACGATTCGTCCACACAGCCAGGCAACATTCTTTGTTTCCTTTATGGAGAAAAGTGTCCTTAGAGCTCTTCTCAAGTTATTCTGCTAGTCTTTTTTCTCGCTCTGCCTCTCCCTTTTTAAAGGACAGTGATGATCAGAGTCCCAGTAGTCCTTAGGAATCAGTCAGTTCCCTTTCTTAAGAAAGTACTGCAATTCCAGGACACGGAGAGATCCTGAGATGAGCCCGGGGTCCATAGCAAGTGCTGGGGCTGAGACTCAGTACTTTCATCGAAAACCGTGCCCGCTGGACACTGAGGTCAGTTTCTGTCCCAGGGCCTCTAGGTCCCCTTTACCACCATGATATTTCCTGTCTGGAAATAGATCGATGGACCCCTCTGTCCTCTACTCTCCAAACATACCCTTCCAGCGGCTCTTCCTCCCTAAATTTGGTCACAAATGCCGTAACTATCTCCCAGTATGCCATCCTCTGCTCCACATTTGTGTTCCCTGATGCTTTCACATTCTCCCTGAAATACTTACTTTGTGACTTCAGAGCCCGCAGTGATGCACCATTATCTGCACATACAATTCTCCGATTCCTGTCCGGACTCAGCAGAACCTCCATGGAGATCCCACTCACGCCAAGGCCCTCTAACTGGCCTTCTGACCTCTGTGTTGACAGCTGTTTCCACCCAGGACACACCCACTAGAACATCAGTCACTTTTATCTCTGTCCCTCTCTGTTCCTTTGTGATTCCTTTTAATTCCCAAATTTTGGTCCTGTGAGTTTTCCTAAACTGTCTTTTCATGTTGTTATTGGGGGAAAAAAAATTCTCTGGAAATTGAAGATTTTCTGTCAGCTTACAAGCTTCCCTTCATAGCCTTGAAAATAGAAGCAGCTCAAAATCACAGTGAAGTCCACGTGCCTTTGCAGGATTCATATTGTGCCTTCAGGAGGAAAGTTCTG